TTTTTAAATTCTCACCCAAGGATATGTTTTTTTAAATTGACTTGAGAGAGAGAGAGAGAGAGAGAGAGAGAGAGAGAGAGAGAGGGAAAGAGAAACACTGATGAGTTGCCTCCGGTACACTCCCTGACCAGGGGTTAAACTTGTAGCCTAAGTATGTGCCCTGACCAGGAATCGAACCGGTCACCTTTTGGTGTATGGGACGACACACCAACCAGCTGAGCCACCTGGCCAGGGTGGAGCACTGTTCCATATCTTGATTGTCCAAATCAACTGTATGCCAAAAGAGTGGATTTTACTCTATGAGAATAAAGCAGCAGAAGGGAGAGGGCAAAAAGAAATGAAACAATGTATAGCTCACAAGCTGCAAACAGTATTTACTGGTCACGTATCATTTGCTGGGGCTTAAGCTGGGCCTTGAAGACACAAAGATAGATGAGACAGTCCCCTCCTTCAGGGAGCTCACAGATTCCTAGGAGGATGAGGCATGACAACAAAGGTTTAGAGTCGCTGTTGAGGGAGGCTGGGGAGGCTGACAGGCACTCAAGGCAGGCCACGAGAGCACTGAGGGGGGTTGTCACTTTCAGCTGCGGTGGGTGAGATGGCGCAGAAGGCAGGCTTCCTAGAGGAGGAATTGCTTCAACTGAGTTTTGAAGGATGAGAGTTAAGTGAGGAGAGGCTATGGATGTTCCAGGTAGAAGGGAAGGCACATGGGAAGCCTTAGGGGGTGAGACAACCTGGGACCCTCAGGGAATTGTTAGGATTTTGGTGTAGCTACGAGGAAGGGAATCGGAAGAGCCTGCAGGAGATGGGACCAGGCCATGGCCACTCGGAGGGAGGTTATAGCTAATCAGTCCAAAGAACTTGTTTTTTATCCAAAGAGCTTGGTTTTTATCCAGAAGATGGTGGGCCAGGTTTTAAGCAGGGCAGTAAAGGGGATCAGATTCATGCATTTTCAGGATCACTCTGCTGCATTGTGGAGTACGGACCAGAGTGGGAGGCTAGATGCAGGGAACCAGAGTGGAACTGGGTCAGGGATCCAACTGAGACATGTAGAGCCTGGGATCAGGGGAGGAAGCAGAAGGATCAATTGGGGAGGCATGTAGGGGCAAAATGGCCAGGACTTGCCTTCCATTAGATATTTGAACATTCAATCTCAAAGAAGAACGTGCACTTGCTATTTCTTCTGTCTCAATTTATCTTTCCTGGGCTCTTTACAAAGAGCATTCCTTCACGTTCTTTAGGGTAAGCCACCTTCTCAGAGGGGTCTGCCTGACTACCCCATTCAAAGGACACCCTTCCCCATTGCTCTCCCATCACTCTGTTTATTTCCCTTCTAAGAAGCGTATTGCTTGTTTACAGTCTAAGCACATGGCTCTGGGTTCTAAGCCTAACTTGGCCCCTTATTAGAGGACCTTGACAAATTATTCATCTTTATGTGCCTTAGCTTATTCATTTGTAAAGTAGGAATAATAATACCTACTTCATAGAATTGTCATCAGGCTAAAATGGGTCAATATGTCGTAAGTGCCTAGGACACTCCCTGGCACATAGCAAGCAAACATGTGTTATTTATTACTATTATTATTTTATAAGGGCATATGCTTTGCCATTTTTCTTCAATAATGTATCCTCAGCTTCTTCCCCGCCCTGTGCTTGGCACCTTTGGGACTTAAAATACTTGTTGAATGGGTCGACTAAATGAGAGGGAACGTCCCCACCCACCCTCACCAGCAGATGGCACATGTATGCAAAGAAAAATTAAAACTGGTTCCGCTTCTACACAACTCAGCCACCAGATGTCGCCGCAGTTCCTTGGAGGCTAGGAACCCAGGCTGAGCCAGTGGCACAAGTTGATCAGACAGGATTCTGGGTGAGTATTCCAAATTGAGGAGCCAGAAAGCTATAATTGTATTAAAAAGTCAAAGTCAAGACGCTAAGGATAAATTGTTTTGCATGATCACATATTCTAAAACTGCATTTTCTTTGTCTTCTCACTTGATTGAGCAGCAGCAACAGGGAGCGGGTCGTGCAGGCATCTTATGTAACGGAAACCTCAGTTCAATGAGGTGGGAGGCTGTGGGAGTCAAAGGGCGTGGGCATCTGACATGCAGCAGAGGGAAGCCGAAAGCCCTTCGTGATGCTTCTCTCCCTGTGCTGTGGGTTCTGTGGGGCGACTCAGTGCTCACAAACCTTGTCTGTACACCAGGACTGGGGACATGAAAGGGAACTGGGCCCTTGGCAGGAGCTTCTGGTCTGGTGCCGACAATGGGCCAGAAAACCAATCAGTAAAAATAAAGGGGGGTGGGGTGGGGTACAGCGAGAAGAGCAAAGGGTGAGGTAAGGAAAGCAGAGGGGACTCTTGGGCAGTCCTGATGCTCTTGGTGGGAGGGAGGCATCCCAGGCAGAGTGTGCTATGTGAGCACAGGTATGGGGCTTGGAGTGCTGGGCTGTTACTGAAGTCTGAGTAGTTTGGTGCGGCTGGAGAATAGTGTTCAAGGTGCTGTTTAGCGTGGCTGGAGGATAGGGTCGGGGCAGGGAATGTACCAGTTACCCAGTGCTGGTCTAGCACTTTTTCTTTTTTTAAAAAAAAATATATCTTTATTGATTTCAGAGAGAGGAAAGGAGAGGGAGAGAGAGAGATGGAAACATCAATGATGAGAGACTCATTGATCAAGCCCGCAACCAAGCATGTGCCCTGACCGGGAATCGAACCCCGATCTCCTGGATCCTAGGTCAACACTCAACCGCTGAGCCACGCCTGGCCGGGCTCTAGCACTTTTTCTTTCCCCCTCCAGGTCTCTTCAAAAGTCACTGGAGTCCTGGGCTCACAAGCCTGGTACAGTCCTAGCTTATTCTTGTCCCCACATAATTATTAAATAATGGCCTCTTTCACTCTCCAAAGTTTCCCACTTAAGGGCCCCTAGCTCATTAGTTAGGGGCCCCCGTGTGCTTCCATCATCACAGTGACCCCATCTTTACTGAGGGCAGGCGCAGGCTCTGGTCCATCTCAGCAACTGATCAGAGGAGACAAGAGGCTCAGGGGCAATGAGTTTCTCTGCGACCTCAGAGCTTGGTGGTCCAGAACAAAACCCTTGGCAGTCCCTCGGGGAGAGGTAGAGATGCTCCATCCATCACGGAGGGTCCCCCAGCAGGGTTTCTGCCTGTAGGAGGCTGGAGCGGGTTTCTGAGGCTTGCTTGAGGCTGCTTGCTCATGGAGGCTGAAGAGTCTGCCCCACCCCTTCCTTATTTGCCTCCTTTTTCCATCGCCAGGTCACCACAGGCTTGGGTCTGGCTGCAGGAGGCAATGACCACAGGGGTGGAGATACAGAGTTAGGAGGTGGGGCAGCCCTGGGTCAGATAGACCCAGAGTAGGGAGCCTCCTGGGCTCTGGATCTGCTCTGCTTCTGATACCCTGTGTGACCTGGAGGAGGGTGCTGGGCTTCCTGTGCCTGTTTCCCCATCAGTACAATGATGGGTTAGTTGAGGTGGTCTGCATGGGACTGGCCAGCCCTGGGTAAACTACCTTGAGGCAGCACTGAGGAAGAGGGTGGAAGCGATGAGGGAGGGGCGAAGGGGTGGAGGAGGGGACTCTGAAGGAGCCAAGTGCGTTACCCCAGGATATTAACTGCCCCCGTCACTGCTCCCAGTCTGGGAAAGGCCAAGCCCATAAATTAGGGCTGTGAGTCTGCCAGGCAGAGACTTAATGAAGAAGGAAACGGACTCCTGTGAGAGCAGGCAGTGCCTCTGCAGGTCACGAGTCCAGCCCAGCCTGGACAGAAGGAACCTGGAGCCAGAGGCAGGCAGGGGTGTCCAAGGTCAGTGTTGGACTGGGCCAGGATGGCAGGAGGCGGCTCCGCTGTGTTCACTGCTGACTCCCCAGCACCCAATACACAGTAAGATCTCAACCGGTATTTCTGACTAAGGACCAAATGACAGGTTTCAGACTGAAACTCTGTCCTGTGGACTCTAGCTGGGCCCTCACTGGTTCCAACCCCAGACCTGAGGGGCATGGGGAGGAAAGGGGTCCCAGAAATAAACTTCTCAAGGAGATGGCTCCCTTTGTTTTGGAGAGGATGTTTCACAGTTTTTTACAGGGTGACAGAACTCTGGGGAGTCTGACATGTTTCTCAAAGCGCATAGCTGGTTTCATGTCTATCACATTTCTGACAGTTACACACCTTTTCTCTCCCTCTCCCGCTCTCTACCCTACCTGCTCTCTAAGGGGACATCCTGGATGAAATGTCCACCCCTGGCACTTGGCAGTGTCTTGCCCTCCTCAGACTTCCAGCAGCATTCCCAGCATATGATTAGAGGGAAGGGCTGGCCATTCAGTGGGGCCCTGGTACTGCCGAGAGAGGGTCTGGAGCAGGAGGTTGGCATCAGGTTGTCAGGGCCGGGCCAGCCAGATCCCTCGATATCCCCTTTTTCTATAGGGTATCTTCAGGGCTCCGCCAGGAGCCCCTTCCCTTATCCCCTTGCCCATCTGGTCTCCCGTAGACACGGCTTAGTTCTGATTCCTCTCTATGCTTCAGTGCCCTGCACAAGGCCTGACACAAAGAGGATGGGCAGAAGGCAGGCACAAAAAAGAGGCACCATGCAGCGCTCCTGTCCCATATGTCACACCTCTCCACTCCCCTGACTTCTCCGAAGGTGGAGGTCCCTCCACTGCTGCCCAATGGAGAATGTGGGAGGCACAGGCCCGTCTTACCCCATACATCCTCCGACCTACTCCCAGCCATGAATGGTCTGCAGTTCTCAGACTAACACGATCTTCCTGCCTGCAGGCCTTTGCACGAGCTGACAACGTCTGACCTTTCTCTGTTCTGCACACTCCTACTCATCCTCACTCAAATGTGACTTCCTCTAAGAAGTCTCCCTAGGTTGGGTGAGGGGTTCTTACTCTGAGCTTTCCGTTTCCTGGAACGTCTTTTCTCTAAACCTGGATTAAATATGAACCCTCCCCAGAGTCATCAGCTTCTCTGGGACGGGCAGTGTTGTAGTCAGTAGAGGCTGAGTGAATGGCTGGATCTGCAAAGGAGGCAAGGCTGGGGCCCCTCGGGACCTTCTGATAGTTCCATAAGACCAAAGGCCACGAACAGGCTGCAAGAAGGGTGGCAGCCCAGAGATGACACTTAATGGGCACTAAGGTTAAATATCAACCCGCATACGTTAGGCACTCAATCAGTTGATTTTTGACAACTATTGATTTGATACTTAGCTTAGCAGCAGCTCTCATATAAAAAGATTTTTGCTGACAATGAACTCACACCTAATAGCATGTTTTATTTGCCAGGACTTTTTGCAGTCTTTGGCTGTATTATCAGAGGACACGTCTTTGGAACTGGGGAGGTGACCTGTTAGTGCTCTAACCATGTTAGAGACACTACCACGGCTTTGTCCTAGAGGACTGGCAGAGCATCCTTTGAAGGTCGTTGACAGATGGGAATGCTTCAAGAGAATTTAACCCCTTCTCATGAGGGGTGACTGGGGTAGGGGACTTGCTGGGAGAAGATAAGGGCTCATGCACTGTCTCCGACTCTGTAAAGAGCTAGCCTGGGGCGAGCTGTGCTCCTGGCCCCAAGGCGAAGCTGGGAAGTCCCAGGCAGATTCCTCTAGCGATAAAAGGGATGCTCCCAGGAAGAGAGGGAGTGAGCACCTTGTGGAGAGAGGGCGTTTCTTGTCAAGATGGCTTAGGAGATGGCTCCTGCATTACCTCTGAGGTCCCTTTCATGCTTAGAAGGCACCAATTCTAGGACGATGTGGCCCTAAAATTCTGAAATGCCTGAGAACCACTTCTGCCATGTGTTTCTAGGGCTCTGAGATCCTAGATGTGAAATAACCCTGCCTGGGGACCTTGAGGCAGGAGATAAGCCTCTTAGCCTGGCCCTACTGGCTCAGAACCCACCTGCCTCCTTGCTTCACGTATCTCAAGGGGCCATTTTATCCATCCCCACCTCTAGGCTGCTTCTCCTCTCAGCCTATCACAAGCCCAAGGGGCAGTTCTTACCTTCTAGCCAGGAGACCGTGGTGTGACAAAGGATATAAGGGAGTATCAGGTCATTTGTCAGAGGGGATGTCGCCAAAGCAGCAAATGATGATCCAGCCTCTGAATTAACTGCCTCGATTCTCTGTGGCTGGATTTCCTCCCTGGTAGCCGCACTTGATGCTAGCATTTGTCCGTCCAACTACATCTCCCCCACAACCCCCGGCCCACCCCTGCGATAAGGAATGGAAGGATGATAAGGGGATGCAGCAGCAGAAGCGGAGGGTCCCACCCTGGCTGCGTGTCACCCCATCTCAGAGGGCAAGAAGCAGACTGGCTTAGAGAGCAACGCCATCCCAGGGAAGTCTACGTGCCCGGCCTCAATCCTGCTACGTGCAGTCAGAGCCCATTTCTTTTCTCATAGTCCAGGAGAAGACACTAAGAGTCACTGCACCTTAGGGGGTCCACAATGCCCTCCCAAGTGTCCCCTCCACCCCCCTTCAAAGCCCCAAGGTCAGCAGGAAGGACATGGCACCACTTACAACAGCAGAGTATCAGAGATTATTGCAGACTTTATAGAAAACTGACCACGGGACATCCAGATTTCTTGGGTGGGGTGGGAAGGCAGGCCTCAAGCCAGTGTGTTGAAGGAGGGTGACTTCCTGTGTGCAGCACAGGCCAGCCATTCTGCCTGACCAAGGGGGTGGGAGTCAGGGAGAGGCAGCCCCTCCCCACTCACCAATTGTGCTTTGGGATCATGCAGAAGGCAGGGCGCTGAGGCTCTGACCCTGAACAGAAGGGGATGTGCCTGAGACAGGAGGTGAGATCCCCTTCCTCTTCCAGAAGGCATGGATGGGGGCGCACATGGCAGCAAGGAATCCTTAGGGGATAAGAGCCACATGGGAGGGAAAGAGCATGTGGACAGCATCTCCCAGCCCTTCAAAGCCCCCTTCCTTACCCCTCTCTGAGGCCATGATGTGTGGGTGGCCCTGGTTCTGAGCCCCGACTTCACAGCCCCAAGACTTTCCTTTCTCCGTGAGGATCTGCAAGTATGGTTGGGGGTGTGTGGCACCTGCACCTGCCTTGCAGTGCTGGAGAGCTCATTTTAGGAGATAAAGGGGGTGGGCACAACCCGGGGATGGATTCCTCACTGGACCCTGGGCTTGTGAGTGGAAGGGGTCGGTACTGAGTGCAAGCTATGGGTGTGGGGGAATCAAGAGCCTAAGACTTGGGCAGGGGGGTGAAACTCAGATCTGGGTAAAGAGCTGAGAATTTGAGATTGGGGCAAGCACTGAATACTGGGGGATCAGAGCCCCAGTGGGAAAGGCTGATCAGCTCCACACTAAGGCTTTAACAGGGTGTGCCTGTGTCTGGGATGGCAGAGACCAAAGGAGCTGAGTCCCAAGCCTGGGCCAAGGAAAAAAAGGACCTGAGCCGGAGCGGGGGTGGTGGGTGGCATGAAATACATCCTCCGATCCTGAGGGGTGCTCAGGATGTGGGTCTCTATGCAGGCTCGAAGGCCACAAAAACCTTTTCGTGGGGATGCTCTGCTTCTGAAACCAGAATGGGGTGTGAGGGTCCAAGCTCTGGGAAGGGAACTGAGGGCTCTCAGCTGGAGATGGGGGCCCATGAAGTCTAGGGTGATGTATCCCATTGAGAGGTCAGGGCTCAAAGAATCGGGTGGTAGAGGCAATCTCAGGGCTTTTGGATTTTAAGACAAGGTGTCTGGGTGGGTCTTAAAGGGGGAGGGGGCGGTTGATGGGTCCAGAGCCTAGAACGGGTGGGTAGGGCTTCTGGAATCAGAAGCGGTGTCTCTGGGTCTTTGCTGATGAGGGCTCTCAGAGGCTGGTAAGAAGGGGGTACAGCTTGGGGCCTCCGTGTGTGAATGTGTGTGTGGGGGGGAGGTGATGGCAGAATCCAAAGGTCTCAGGCCAGTCAGGGGCAGGTCTCAAAAGCCTCAAGCTCGCCGGTGTCCCATATCCACTGCTTCGGGCCAGGTAACCCCAGTAAAGTCCCGCTGGCAGGGACACCCCCAGCCTCC